AAACCTTCTTCTCCAGCATTCCTTTGTTTTAAAGGAGAGCTGCTGGCCTGCCTTGCCAGCTGAGCTTTCTGTGCCTGCACTGAAGGAACAGCCTGACCCTCCTGGAAGCAATTTTCTGCAGCTGAAATCTTAGTGCAGAAGTGTGGAAGAAATCTGCTGTTCTGGGAGCAGCCTGGCTGTTCTTGAACAGTGGGTTTGTGCTCCCTGGCAGTGACTTGGACTTGGGAAAACGCAGCTGAGTTGCTCAGAAAAAGAACAGACCTTTCCTTCAGTCCTTCACTTGGTTTCTGTTTCCATCGGCGCCTTGCAGAGCGTTGCAGGCATGCGCCCTCTGGCTGCCTTGGCTGAGAGCAGGATGAGGCGTTGAGGAGGTGCTGCCAAGGTTAGCAGTGGGTAAAGGAGCGGGTACATGGTCAAGGATTGCCAGGACATCCTCTCTGAAGCAGGCTGGAGCACTCTGTGCTGTTTATTCCTCCTCCTGGTTCTGGGGAGGTGATGTGCAGGCTGGGGGCAGCAACTGCGCATGGGAAGAGGCAAAGCTGAGGGGGAGCTTTGGCTTGTTTGCATGGAAAACATCTTTTTGTTGTTCTGCATAAAAACCAGGCAGAAATAACCACTGATAGTGCTTGCTCAGCAGAGATTGATGCTGCCTTTCCTTTGGAGGTAAGAGCTGTCTGGTGGGATTGCACGTGGTGGGAGCTGAGCCACGTCCCTGCACGCTGTGCCAGAGGGCACAGCACAGGGAGGGCAAAGCCTGGGAGCTCTGGGCACAGCATGGGCAGAGAAGAACATCCCTGGGAGCTCTGGGCACAGCAGCACAGGGAGGGCAAAGCCTGGGAGCTCTGGGCACAGCATGGGCAGAGCCTGGGAGCTCTGGGCACAGGTGTAACACAGGGAATGTGCAGCTCCAGGCTGGGTTTGGAGGTGCTGTTCAGAAATGCCATTGTGGAGGAGGGAATTGGGATTGCCACAGTCAGGGTATGGCTCTGTCCCCTTCAGCTGCTCGGTTCTCCCTCCTTGCTGCTCCTAAAACTCCTTTTGAAGAGTAACAGACTTTGGCTCAAATGACATTTTGCCAGCATCTAATTGACCTTTTGTGCCCATACCCTTCCTAGTCTCAGTATTTCCCAGTTTCTGGAGCACGTAACCTGTGGCACACAGGTGTCTTTCATGGGGCCAGAAAACCTGGGATGGTGTTGGCCACAATGCTGTTCCTATTTCTAAAGCATTTCTAAATGCTGGGCTCAGTGGGGGCCCAGCATCTTCAGGACTCTTGGCTGGTAAAGCTGTGTTTCCAAAAGCCTGGAAGCTGCAATCTGTATCTCTTTGATGTGCAGTGAAGCTGAAAGTGCTTGTATATTTTCTCTTATGTATTCATTGAATTTTAGTGTGTTTTTTTTCCTTTTTCAAATATCAGAAGGTTTTTTTTGTTGTTTTTTTTTGTTTTTTTTTTTTTTTTGTTTGTTTGTTTTTTTGTTGTTGTTGTTTTTTTTTTTTATCATGGAGGAAGAAGCTCCAAAAATGTGCAGCAGCAGCTTTTGAAGTGTCAACGTCACTGAACGTGGCTGAGTATGAACAAATGCTGCTTCCTGTCTCAGGGCTGGAGCCACTGCTCCCATGGAGGAAGCAAAGCTGAGTTGCTGTGCATCTCAGTCACAAGTGCAGCAGCAAGGACAGCACAGGCTGTTTCAGTGTGGGATGGATCTCAGAGCTGCTGTGAGGCTGACTCAGAGCTGCTGGGGCCAGCACTGCACCAGCAGGGCTCACACGTGAGCTGGACCTGCCAGCATCTGCTCTGCCCTTGCCAGGTTTGTCTCAGCCGTGGAGATTTCATCTGTGAGGAGGCAGCCTGAGGCACAAACAGCTGCTGCTGGGGAAGAATGGCATGAGCAGACCAAATCTGAATTGTCTGTGTCCATCCACTTTGTGGCATTATCTGGTTTATGGTTTTATCTGTTCTGGTGGCACAATATTCCCTGGTCCCACTGCACACCAGTTGTTTTTGGTGAGTGGTGCCCACCTTGGAAAGCAGGTGGGATGTGCAGACCTTTCCATGTTTGAATCCCAAACTGTTTCTGCCGTGATGTAACAGAGGGAAATACAGCCAGCATGGGATGCTGGACCCTGACACATCAGCTCCTCTCATCACTGCTGGAAGTTGCTTTGTATCAGTTTTGAGCATGTCAGTGATGAGAACCAGAGCTTTGGGGTATTGATCAATGCCCTCTGGACAAGGCATGGAGGGACAGGACAAAGGGAAATGGCCTCACCCTGACAGAGGGCAGGGCTGGATGGGATATTGGGAATTAGGAATTGTTCCCTGGCAGGGTGGGCAGGCCCTGGCACAGGGTGCCCAGAGCAGCTGGGGCTGCCCCTGGATCCCTGGCAGTGCCCAAGGCCAGGTTGGGCAGGGCTGGGAGCAGCCTGGGACAGTGGGAGGTGTCCCTGCCATGGCAGGATGTTGTAATGAGATGGGCTTTAAGGTCCTTTCCAACCAAACCATTCTGGGATCCTGCAATCCCTCATTAGCTGAGCTGGGGCTGCTGAGCACAGGAAGGAGGTGGGTTATAAAGCCCTGTGTTCCACAGGCAGGGCTGGTGCTGCCCCACGGGCTTTGGCTGTGTGAGAAGCCTCAGACAGAACTCCTGGGGCTGAGAGCTGTGATCTGAACAGAGGACCTGGAAATCTGCTGTCATCTTCTCACCCAGGAGCTGCTGGAATGAGGTCAGGGAGCACAGAGCCAGGGGAGGACACACGGATTGAGGCCATGGCCAGGGTGGGCCAAGCCCTTTCTGTGTGAGGCTGTGATGGAGCTGTCCTGGCTCTGTCTGTCACACTGCTGTGCCCCACCACGTTAATGGGAATCTTTTCCATTTTCTTTAGCAAATATCAATTCCCTGGGGACATGGGGCTTCTTTGCCTATCTTTGTGTTGAACTGATTGTGCTGGTTCTGCTTCCATAGTGGATTTATCCTCTGTAGTTAGTTTGCAGAGGAAGCCAGTAAAAGCTGTTCTTCCAGTTGAGAAGAGCTAATCTGCATTTGTAGCTGGAAATAGCATCTCCTCTCTCCATCCTGCTATGATAACCAGCTCCTTTTGAGTCTCAGGATCTTGCAGTGTGTCCTTGCTCCAAAGGACCTGCACAAAACATTGGTGATTCCATCAGAACTTAAACCTGGTAATTTTGGATGGTAATTTTGGAATACTGCAGGCTGTCAATGGTGAGGGATGGATGCTCTGGGGCAGCTCAGTGCCAGGGGGAAGCCCAGTGCCCCCTGGTATCCCACAGAGCTCTCTGTCAGAAATGGGCTGAGTTTTGTGCTGCTCACATTAAGATGAAAGAAAGCACAGGAAAGAAACAGCTTCTAAGAGGCTTAAAAGCAACAGGCTTTATTTTCCTCCTGGGAAGGGCACACAGCCAACATCTTGCTCTTTACAGATCTCTCTTAATAAGCAGAATATTGCATTAGGAGCAACTGAGGCTGCCAAGTGTGAGCAGAAGGGCCCTGCATCCCTGACCTTCCCTCATCCCAGGGCACGTGTGGCTCTGGAGCCAGGGCTGGCTCCCTCCTGGGCAGGGTGGCAGCGTTCATGGCTCACCCTGGGGCTGTGGCTTCATCTGATGGGTGTTGATGGAGTGGCTGCTGGAGGCCTCCTCCTCTCCTGCCTTTTCTTGCCAGCTGCTTTGATGGGGGGAGTGAGGCTGAGGAGTGTTGAAAGATTATTATGGGAAAGCAGCATGTGAGCAGGAATGGGAGGAGATCTGTTGTGGGCACAGTTGGCCGTGAGGGAAGGAAAACTCCCTGGCAGGCTGGTGTCCCCAGGTAAGGACTCTGGGCTGCTCTGCTTGGGCTGGGCTCACCCAGAACCCCTGCAGGCACGGGCACAGGAAGCTCTGAGGCTCCTGGATGTGCAGGCTTGGCTACTTGGAGAAGAATAAATCCTCCTTTTCTTCACATCCCCACTGAGCTAAAAGGAGCACGGCCCAGTTTGAGCTTTGTAGGTCACTGAAGGAGAAGGCAGGCTCTGCAGTGTGCCTGGAAATGCTCTGTACCATGGCAACTCTGCTTGCCTGGCTCTTGAGGAAGAAACTGGAGTGAGAAGCAGGAGGAAGATGACCCCCAGCTGCCCTGGTGTTACTCTTTGAAGCTGCCTGGCTTCAACTTCGGGGGGAGAAATTCTAGTGAGGAAATCTGGGCATCCTGGGGGAGACCCTGTGCTGTCAGGAATCAGCTCCTGGGGGGATCAGTGAGCAGCAGCAGGCCAGGTGCTGCTCCAGGGATGATTCCATTTCCTGCTGCCTAGCAGGAGGCTGCTGGGGGCAGGGGGGTGAACCAGGAAAAAAGGAGTCGAATGAAGCAAAGCCATGCAGGTGAGGGAGGGATGGGTCTTCCTGCCTTGCTTGCCAAGTCTTTGGCTCTGCTTGACCTGGCAGCTGCAGGTGGAGGTGGCTGAGCCCCAGGGGCACCTCTGTGGGCACAGCTGCAATGCAGGGCTGGGGCAGCACTGGCTGCCTGTGCAGGCTGTGCCATGCTGGGCAGGCTGGCATGCTCTGGGCTGGCTGCCCAGCACGTGGCTCTGGTGACAGCAAACGGGACAAGCAGAGTCACATTTGCTCCTGGCCCGTTGGGGTGAGGGATGGAGCTCCCAGCACTGCTCCCTGGGCTCTGACAGCAGTGTCACCCTGTGCCATGCCTGATGGCAGCTGTCCCAAGCACTGAGTGAGCAGCCTCTCACTTGTATTTCCCAATTTAGTCACATCCTACCAGCTATAACTGAGCCACTGGAAATGGGGAAATCAGGTTTCTGGATGTTGTTGCACTTGCTTGGATCTCAGAGCATGTCAGTGGAGCTTTGCCACGTGCCAGGGACACAGAGCCTCATGCCTGCCAGTGAGGGGGCACATGGGGAGAGAAGGGGTTTGGTGTGGCAGCCAGGACAGTGCTGCAGCTGTGCCTCCTCTCCATCTCTGTAATTCACTTGTAATTCCTTTGACACAGACCCAGTGGAAGAAGTCACCTTCCCAACTACACTGCTCAGAGGAGCTGCTTCTCTCAGCTGTTGCTGCAGGGAAGAGGACAGGTAAATTCTACCCCTTGTAAAGTAACAGCTCCAGCTGTTAAATATGGTGTTGCCTTCACTCACTGGGTTTATTGAGAGATTTATTTGGAAATGCTCTGTGGGTTTGCACCCTCTGTCCTGGAGGTTTTGCTTCAGGCTCAGGGCAGGGGTCCTGCCATCCCTCAGGGCACACATTGTGTCCATTGGGGCTGTGGGCAGCTCTTCCCCACCTTTGGCACCCCAGTGATGCAGCCAAGTCTTGGCACAGCACATTCCAGCCCAGCCCTGCCCTGGAGTGTGGCCACGCAGCCCAGAGCTGCCCTGATGAGCTGCTGTGCAGCAGGGGGGCTTTACATGGAGCTGCAGGAAGATTTTACACCTTGGAGTTGCTGCCTGCTCAGAGCCTGTCCAGCTTTGGGGCCATAGCCCTGGTTGTGCCTGGGGGAAGCTGAGGCTGCTGCAGTGCTGGCACCAGCCCTGGCCCCTCCGTTACCTGTCACCTGCATCCCCCCTCCATGTGCCTGTGGCACCGAGGGCTGCTGTCACCTGAAGGTCTCTGTCCCTGCAGGGCTCCTGAGCCATGTCCAACGATCCCCCCCCTCCGTACCCGGGGGGCCCCTCGGCACCGCTGATAGAGGAGAAGCACGGCCCCCCCTCGGCACCAGGTACGGGGGGACCCTGCCACACACACAGCACCCAGCTGGGGGTGCCTGGCACTGCCTGGCTTCCTCTGTGCCCATGGCACCCTTGGGGGAGGCAGGAGGGCTCCTAGGGGCAATGACCCAGCTCAAAGCCTGGCACTGCTCCCTGCTGTGGGGAGAATTTGGGTTTCTTGTGGCCCAGAGGAGGATGTGGCTTAAGGGGTTGTCCCCTGTCTTGTCTCCCTTCCTTTTCTCCCTTCCCTGCCTCCTTGGCTGCTGACTGTGTTTCCTTTCAGAGGGTGTCACCCCAGTGGTGGGACAGCCCCAGGGGGTTCCTATACCCCCTCCTGAGTTCGGACCCCCCCCATATGAGCCCCCCTCTCAGCCGGGGTTCATACCCCCCCACATGCCCACGGATGGCTCTGGGCCCTACGTGCCACCAGGTGAGTCCTGCAGGGGCTGGGGGACAGGGGGTGGGGATTGGCAGCAGCAGCACCCCCAGGAGGGGTTTGGGGCTGCCTTTTGGAGCTTGCAGGAGGCTCCTTGGGATGGGGTGGGGGGCACAGTGCCTGTGGCAGGGCTGGCCCCAAGGCTGTACTCAAAGGGAGGCGTTGCAGCAGGGTGGGGGCCTCCCCAGTAAGGATCTGGGCTCTCCCACCATGCACAAAGGTGCTCACTTGTTTGTGTTTCTCATTCACAGCAGGATATTACCCACCCCCAGGCCCCCACCCCCCCATGGGCTACTACCCTGCCCCAGGCCCCTACCCCTCTCCTGGTGGCCACACGGCCACAGTGCTGGTGCCCCCGGGAGCTGCCACCACAGTGACAGTGCTGCAGGGAGAGATCTTCCAGGGAGCCCCTGTGCAGACAGTGTGTCCCCACTGCCAGCAAGCCATCACCACCAAGATCTCCTACGAGATTGGGCTCATGAGCTTCCTTCTGGGCTTCTTCTGCTGCTTCGTGGGGTAGGTGCTGCAAGCAGAGCTGGGGCCTCGTGCTGGGTGCTCAGCCTGGGTGACCCAGTGCTGGTGGCCTTGGCTGAGCTGCTGGGCATGGTGGGGACCTTGGCACAGGGGTGGCACTGGAGCAGCAGAGGGGTTCCTGGGTGACAGCCCCTCCAATTGCATCTCTCGTCCCCGTGCCCAGGGGCTGCCCCAGCTCAGCATCTCTGCCTCTCCCTGTGCTCCAGGTGTGATCTCTGCTGCTGCCTGATCCCCTGCCTGTTCGATGACTTCAAGGACGTGACACACACGTGTCCCAACTGCAAGGCCTACATCTACACGTACAAGCGCATGTGCTAACGGCACTCGGGAGCCTCTGGAACGCCGCCGGCCTCGCCCCGCTGCCGTCCGTCCGTCCGTCCGTCTCCGCGTGTGCATCGCCCCTCCCCTCGCTTCCCGCCGGTGGTGTGTATGTGTTATCCCCGGCTCCTCCCGCAGAGCTGCCACCACTGCCCCCAGCTCTGCTCCTCACTGGGAATACTTGGGTTGGTGACGCTGGGGCACGGGGGAGGTGGCTGCTGGCCCCAGCTGCTGTGTGGGGGCTGCCCTGCAGTGCACAGGCGTGGGGGGCATCGCTCTGCACCCATGGGGCTCCAGGTGTGAGCGAGGCCCCTCTCACCTGGAGCACCCCTGGCAGGAGCAGCAGCTGCTGGAGGTGCCCAGCCCAGTCCCACAGTGCAGGGGGTGCCTGGCTGCAGGAAGGTGCTGGGCTGGGAGCCCAGGAGGGACCCAAGCTGCCCACGGTGCCCTCAGGGGATGCAGCAGAGCCTTTGTGGCGCTTTCAGGAAGGGGCTCAGTGACAAGGACACGGGGCAGTGCCACACACCAGGTTTCCGTGTGGTTCAAAGCCTCTTCCCGAGGGGAGGCAGAGCTGCCTCTAAGCACAGAGAGGGGCCCGGCAGCAGCACCGCACCCTTATCAGCACCTCCGTCCTGCCCGGCGGCCGCTCCAGCTGCATGCGCCTCCTCCTCCTCCTCCCAGCCCCGCCCGGCTCCGGGGGCAGGGACAGCCCCAGGCAGCCCCGGCCCCCCGAGAGCCAAAGCACACCCGGCATGTCCCGGCTGCCCGGCACGTAGAGTAGAGGAGTTTGTAACCAGGCTGCAGCTCCAGAGCCGCCCTGGGCCCGGCAGGGTCTCCTTGCATGTGGTGTAGGGGGTGTTTTTAGCTCACTCACCTGAGGCAGAAGGAAGGGGCAAGCAGGCAGCGACAGGAGCTGCCAGCAGCGCTCCCACGGCAGGGGTGAGAGGGGCTGGGAGCCGAGTTCAGCCTCTCGGGGCTGCTGCTCCCTCCCCTGCCCCTGCAGCTCCCAGAGCAAAGTGGGGGGGGGGGGGTCTCTCAGTACACAGGTCTGCAAACACAGCCTGGCCTGCACAGGCAGCTGCTGTTTGCTCAGGGCTGGAACTGTGGCACTAGTCAGTGTTTTTATGTAAATAAATAACAGACCCTGAACTCCTGTGCATCTGTTCTTCTCTCCTGCTCAAAATTCGCAGCAGCTCTGCCTGCAGGGGAGCTGAGGATGAGGGCAGGGTGGGGGTACAGTGGTACCAAGCACAGGAGGAAGAGCAGCAGCTTCTCTACCCTGCCAGGAACCCCCTCACACAGGAAAGCCCCAAGCCCTGACAGCACCTGGCTGTGTCCTCAGCAGGGCAATGATCCTTCCCACATGGAAACCCCAGGGAAAACAGCAGGGACAGTGGGGTGCCAGGGCAGGAGTTTCTCAGGGACTGCATGAGTCAGAGACAAGTGAAACAGGGTGGGACTGCACTCCCTTTCCCCCCCTCAGTCCCCAGCCTCTCCATTCTCACAATGATGTGCTTTTGACTTCCTCCAGCTACGGCATTGCAACTTTTTATTCCAGTCAAGGCTTCAGGAGAAATAACCAACAACCAACCCTCAACCCTGAAGTTGCACAGTACAGATCTGTCACCTCCATACCCCACCATGGTCCTGCCCCCATCCCCAGGGAGCTCCTTCCAACAGGAGTCAGACTTGGTTCCTCACACATTGCACCAAACAGGAGACTTCTCTGAGCTAACAGCCCCATGGCACAGCCTCAGCTTCTCAGGGTAGGAAAGCAAGTGCTCGTTGTTTGAAAGGCTGATGACACATTCTGCAGATGCAACCCAGGGCAGGAAACCCCTTCCAGACACTGCTTCAGGGATGGAGATGAAAAGCCAAGCATGTGAAGCCTTTGCCAGGACAGGACAGGACATCTTTAGCCTTAAAAAGCCCAGCCTGGGCAGGGCAGTGCTGCAGTGGAGTCCTCACCCCCTGGCACTGACGAGTCCTGTGCAATATTCAGCTAAAGAGGTGTGCAAGGAGGCCTGGACAGTCCCTCAGGATTCCTGTTTATTTCCTTACTCCACTCTGCAGCCAACTCACCAGCAGCAAGGGAAGGGTTGGAAAGCAGGCAGGGCCCATCTCTGCCCTTGCCCCCAGGCAGAGCCACACCCGACTGTGCCCGTCACAGGATGTACCAGGCTGCAGCTCCCGCTGCCACGGCCATGCAGGCTGCCAGCACCAGCTGCACCAGGGGCTGCCTGGCCAGGCCCACAGCAGCATGGAAGGGGCAGCTGGGGCTTGCTGTGCCTGCAGGACACAGAAAGCACCGTTAGCACTGTCCCTCTGTGCCACACAGCCACGGCAGCCCCCGCGTTGGCACCACCTACCCAGTTTGTCTGCATAGTACGGGCACTTGCGGATGTCTCCCTTTCCATCGTGGACTGGAACGCCTCCATCTTGGGCTTCTTCTCCCAGCGACCTGCCCACCTTGTCCAGCTCATCAAACACCTGCAAGTGGCCACAGTGAGCATGTGAGCAGGCAGAGCCAGGCAGCTCTCAGCCAGATCCCTGCAGTCATCTGGGGAGCACCACTCCTGCTTCCCCGTCCCCAGCTGCCTTTTTGGGCATCCACTGCACAGCTGGGGTGACACCTGGCACACGCTGCAGCTCCAGGAAGGCACAGCCCATCCCAAGAGCATTCAGTTGGAGCCAGGAGCCAGGCAGCACCACCCTGCTGTGGGTGGGAGTGTGGGGCAACAGGCTCTCCCCTCCCTGCTGCAGAGCCCTGGAGGATCCCAGCTCCTGCAGTGCTCAGGCAGCCTCTCTCACTGCCATGGGATTCCATAAGGATCCTGACAAAGGAGCCAACCACACCTCACCATGTTTCTGGCCAGTTTAAATCACACTGACCTGCTACAAGCACAAGATTAAAACTTCCATCCAGTAGCTAAATCTGTGTTCATCCCCTGGGGAAAGCAGCAGCTCAGTCAGGTTTGATGAGAGGCAAATGCTATGGGAGGGACAGGAAGCTCCAGACATTTCTGACCATGGGCAACAAGTCAGACCTGAGACAGGAGATGAATTGTCACCAGGGTGGTGCAGCACACTCAAACTGTTTGAGGCTGTCTTGGCACAAGAGCTCTGCTCCCCTCACTGATTCACAGCCACACAGCTTGTGGGAATCTTCAAATCATTAATTTTGCCTTAATCAAAGCATTTGGCTGTGGTGGTGGAGCATGGGAGGAATTCCTGCCTGAAGCTAGAGAAAACTAGTTCAACTAGAACCCCAACCCCTCAAGGAGGGGCTGTGGTGGTCTCACTCACATTGACTGGGTGAGTGGTGTGACTGAATTAACCTGGGCCAGACCTAAAAGCTGCAGCACCTACACATACAGATCAAGGGCTTTGTTTAGTACCTGCATGTTAAATCTGAAGGCTTTGTTGGCCTCTTCCACAATCCTTTCCTTGGTGTTCTTGTCCAAGTCCAGAGCATTCATTCTTGCTCTGTAAAGCTGCTTGAACTGCTGTGCGTTGGAAATGTTGTCAAACACGTAGAACTGGATCCCTTCCTCAGTACTGGGCAACTTCAGGGCCCTCTGGGCCACCTTCTTCAGCACCTGGCCACCTGAGAGGTCCCCCATGTAGCGTGTGTAAGCATGAGCCACCAGCAGCTCTGGCTCGTGTTGTCCCACATGATGGATTCTGTCCACATACTGCTGAGTTGCCTCTGAACACTGGATCTTTTCTTTCCAGTCTTCCCCATAAAAATATTTGAGGTCTTTGGCCAAAGCTTCTCTCCGGTGGAGCTCCACAGGGAAATACAGAGGAGCAAAGAGGGGGTTGTCCTTGTTGTGATCCATCTCCTCTTCCAGAGCAGAGTAGGTGAAGTAAAGGGCCACGGTGGCCAGCTACAGACAGAACACAGCTCATGTGAGAAGCTGCTCACTAGATGGGCACAACTCATCTCAAGAGCAAACCCCAGGCCTGGCACAGAACCAGCCTGGAGAGCCTGTACCAGGCAGGCACTGCTTGAAGGAGCCAAGGCTCTGCTCTGCCCACCACCACCACAGCACCCCCAGGGCTGTGGGGCTCTGCCTTGGAGTCTGCACCAAAGAGCTGGGGAGCAGAGCCACACCCACCTTGAAGAGCTCCTTCTTGATGCGGCCCTTGAGGAAGTCCTTGACAAACTGAGTGTTCTCGGCGCGGTCGTGCGATTCCTTCGTCCCCTCCTTCAGCAGCTCCGAAAGGTCCATGGGGCTGCAGGCAAACACAGAGCTCCTTCCACCCCACAGCCTCACACGGTTTGTCCCTGCTGTGTCTGGAGGGATCCCCCACCATCCACCATCCCAGTTTGGAGAAGGTACAAGGTGGGACCCTCAGGCCTCCCCGCAGGCTGAGCTGGCACCTGCTGGAGGAAGCAGCCCCTGTGCCAAGCACAGCTGCCCCTCCAGGGGGGTTACCAGGGGCTCTGGCCCAGGATGCTGAAGCAACTGCCAAGGACCTGCTGATCCCTGCACCTTAACTTCTGCTTCTCATCCATGTGAGCCCAACAACACCACACAAGGAAGCCTTGAGCTTATGGGGAGCATCAGGGCAGGCTAAAAGGCATGGGGGCCTTGCTGGTACCTTCTGCTGGAGAACAGAAAAGGCTCAGGTAGGCCCCCCAGCTTTCCCAACTTGGATAAATGTTGGTGAAGAGATGAGAGCTGAATGGCAAAGCAGGGCAAAAACACCCTTAAAAAGTTTATTTCTCCTGCATTACACTGGTTTTTCAATTTTCCACATGGTGTCTTGTTTTAAAAAAGACCCAAAACATTAAAATCTATGATTTTAGGCCCCAGGCACTGCACCTACCTGGACACAGAATCACAGAATGAACTGGCCTGAAAAAGACCTTTGAGATCATCAAGTCCAACCTATGACCTAACACCTCCTCATCACCTGAACCACAGCACTGAGTGCCACATCCAGGCTGTTCTTAAACACATCCAGGGACAGAGACCCCAGCACCTCCCTGGGCAGACAATTCCAGGGAGGAATCAATCATTCCCAATCACTCTTTCAGTGAAGAATTTTTTTCCTGATGTCCACCTCAAACTTCCCCTGGTGCAGCTCAAGGCTGTGTCCTCTCATTCTGTCGGGGGTTCCCTGGGAGGAGAGCCCAGCCCCCTCTGGCTCCAGCCACCTTCAGGTACAGCATCAGGACACTGGTACAGTATCAACACACACTCAAATCTTGCCAAAGTGCACCCCACAGTTTTATCACTACTTTGCTCCAGCTAGCACACTCATGTTAGCTCTGAGAGAGGCTCTGAACACTCCAGACCCACTGAGTGTGCCAGCAGAGCCAGCAAACACTCACTTCTCATGAAGCTGAGCCTGTCAAGTCACAGAAATCAACCAGCCTGTCTGAATCTTCTAGAAAGCACCCTAGTCACCCTTCCTGTTTTCCAAGTCTGAAGCCTTGGCTTTTAGAACATGTGTGTGAATTTGTTTTTTAAAGTAACCTCCTAGAAAATGTCCTTGCCTGGGCCTGGGTATTCTGCAAAGGCAAGAGCTCACCAGAGCAGAGTTCACCTCTAGAGTCAGTTTTCAAAACAAGAAACCTGCCCAGCAAGCCATGGAAAACTGGCTCCCCTTGGCCAGGAAGACACAAACACAGCTGCCAAACAGTCAAGAGTGTTTCTGAAATGTGACTTTCACAGTCAAGTGTTTGTTGTCAGCCCTGCCAGGTCCCTCTTTCCCATCCCTTCCACCCTTACAGTACAGTTTGATTAAAGATGTCATAGCACATGTATTTAATTAATCACCTATTGTGGTCCCCCACTTCTTCAGATGAGAGGGATCACTCCTTTACCTGGAAGATCTCTTGCCTTGCCCAAGGCTGTGCCTGTGCCATTGTGTGTCAGAACTCACCTGACAGCATCATCTTCTATTTCCTCATAGTGCAAAATGTCCTCCTCTCCCCCCTCTGGGCTCTCCTGGGCTGATGGCATTGTGGCCACTGCTGGGACCAGTCTGAAAAGCAAAAGCAGAGAGGGGCTGTCAGGGGAAGCTGCCTTAGCAAAGGGATGGGTGTGAAAGGCTGAACAGTCCAACCAGGAGTTCTCTGAGCAGCCCCACCAGGCAGGGCAGTGAGCAGCAGCCTCTGGCTGTTTCCACCTCCCACCAGGCACTTCCAAGGATGCAGATTTGCCTGTTCAGTTCAGGTGAACCTCAGCACTGACACCCAGTTCACAAAGCATTGAACACAGCAGCCTGCACTCCATTTCCCCCTTCAGGATGGCTCCTGGCTGAAGATGAGAGCTCTGTGGTGGCAACCTGCACTGGACCTGTGAGCAGGCTGCCTTCCCCTGGTGCTACCAAATATTTCCCCCAGTGTCACACTGAGCAGAGTAACTGGAAAGGGAAGCCCCTCTCCCCTTCACTCAAGAGGAAGAACAAGCCTCATGTGCAAGTACAAAGCTTCCCTGGAGAAAGCAGTGGTGAATTAGGCCAGCTGAGCTCTGAAGTCAGGCAGCTCCCAGGGGAAACAAGAACATTCCCTGTGACAGAATAGGGGAAGAGGAACTTCCAAAGCAGGGGCAGATTTCACTGCTCTGCCTTTCCTGGGCCACTCTCCAAGCAGAGTGAGCTGCAGACAGCTCCTGCTCCCACTCACACCCTCCTCTCCTGCCTGGCAGAATTCACTTCAAATCCCATAAGTAACTGGGTTCCTCCTCCTCATTTGCAAAAGGAAATAAAATCTCCTTGGATGTAACAGGATGCACAAGCTTTACCCAGGAGCAGGAACACGACACACCTGGATTACATTGGCTGGGCACAGAAATCCAGGCCTCTCATTTATAAAATGGAGCTGTAATCAGCTTTGTGCAGAGCAACAGCACCAGCAGCTTCCAGGCAGCCTTGGAGAGGAGCAAGGAGCTGATGAGAAAACACTCACCAAGGGAACCATCCTCGTGCTCCCCACTTCAGTTCAGCCCCCCTTGCTGGGCTGCACCCATGGATTCCCTGCTCAGCCCCAGCAGGGGACTGGCAGAGCCAACAAGCAGCTGCTCAGCTGGCACAGCAGCTCACACGAGCACACCAGTTAGAAATTAATTCTCTCCAGTTCCTCACCCCACATTTCTAAGCCCTACTTCACAGCAGTTCAAGCAGCTTTACAGAGCAAGAATGAATGCTCTGGACTTGGACAAGAACACCAAGGAAAGGATTGTGAAAGAGGCCAACAAAGCCTTCAGCCCTGTTTCACAGCCCTGTTTCTCAGTGCCCTTCACACTCCAACCAGGAGCCAGGGCTGAGCCCCATCCTCAGGTGCAGCCCAAGGCTCCCCTGTGATCACAGAATCCTTTCCTGGGAGAGAGGCTTCCCCAGGGGAAGGCTGACCAAGGGGATTGTTTTGGGATGCCATGAGCCCAGGGCTGGGACAGAAGTCATTCAGGGTCACAAGGGATGGCAGCCCTAGTGTCACCCCCCCTCCCCAGCCCAGGATAAAGGTCAGGCCAGAAACCAGCCCAGGTGCTGTGTCTGTGATCACTCACCAGGCAGCTCAAGCCAGGGACCCACCCTCAGTCCTCACCCAGCTTCAGAGTGGGAAATGCCCACTGTGGGCAGGGGGAAAAAGCACCAAGGCAAACGAGCCAGCTGAGCTCAGCCAGGAGCCTGGGCACAGGAGGAACAGTGCATTTGTCACCTGCCAATGTCACCAGCTCTGTGACACCCTGCCTGCCCTGCTCATGGCAGCCCAGGACCTTCCCAGGAGATGCAGATTCCAAAATGAAACTAGACAAACTAGTTCCAATTTATCTTTTATTCCCAGAAAGCCAGAGTCCTGGAGGGGAGGTGTGCTGTCTCCACATGCCTGAAACAGGCACTGCTGAGAGCAGAGCTACAGAGCACCTGAGCCACACTCATCCCTTGGGAGAAGCCTGAAGGCTGACAGCAAATCCAGCCCAAAGGAACACACCAGGCCAGGCCTCAAAATCAGTGGTTAACAGCAGCCATGGCTCAAGGTTCCCCAAAGATGGCCCTGAGATCATCACACTCACCAGAGCCTCCAGTGGCACAGCCCGAGCACTCTCCTGTTCACACAGGGCACCCAGGGGGGCTCAGCAGCCTCCCCCCAGCCCTGTCACTGCTGCTGCAGAAGCACAGCTCATGGGCATGGGGAGTCACTGTCCCAGGAGCACAGGCTGCTGCTGGGAGCAGGGGGTACCATGTCCAAAGTCACTGAAGGCCTTGGTACATTGTCAGACTCGTGTTTCCCCTGGCATGTTTTGCAGGGTTCAGGCTCACAAGTTAATCTCCATGGCAGTGCCTACACCAGTCCCTGTAGCCCCAGGTGAGGGCAGAACTCGTGCAGGAAGATGTGGAAGCTGAGCTTTCTCCTGATACAGTCTCTAGCACAGACACATCCCAACAGGACAAGTCAGCACAGAGCCCATCCTCCCCTGTGCTGGGGCACTGAGAGCTGGCAGGAAAGGCCCTCACTGCTCTCACACCTCCACACACTGGTGCCTTTACTCAAAAACTGGCAACTGCAAGCCCCACTTTGTGGTCACAGCCCTTTTTCTCTGAAAGGGGGCACATCCCACAGGCCAAGGGGGAGGCTCAGGCAGTGCCACCTCCTCTGCAGAGGCTGGAATGCCATTTCATTTGCTGCAGGGAGCTCTGCTCATCCAGGACCTGGCTGATGTTCAGGGCACCTTCCAGTGCCCAGACACAGCCTGCTGGAGCAATCCAGCAGCCACCATTGGGATAGCAGGGCTGGAGAGTGGGGAGGAGGTTTGGTACAGGACACCCCAGCATTCCAAACCTTTCTTTCCTAATGACAGTGTTCAAACCCCCTGAGAAAACACCTCCACCTCATCTAGATGAGTAGAGTTTGTCCCCACACACATCTCCTCACCAAGCTGCACACCCCAGATGCACAACTGTTCTTCTCAGGGTAGGAAAACATTTAATCCAAATAATCCCAAGCCTTTTGAAGGAAGAAGACACTGCTGCTGCAGGGAAAGAGCACTGGAAGCCCCAGATTTGCTTGGGCACTCTGGGAGAAGTTTGGTAACTCACAGGCAGTACAGAGTTCATATCTGCTGTTGAATTTGCATGCAGCTTCAAGGCATTTCCCCACACACAGAGCTCAGTGTGGTTGGACCTTGCAGTGGAAACAAACCTCAGAACCCCAGGCCTAGAGGCTTGAAGAATCGTCCCAGAGGTTACCTGGCAATCCCAGCAGGAGAGATTGTCATCTCCATCTCCTTCTGGTGAGGGATTTGGCACTGGCTGCTGCTGGAAATGGAACCTCATAGACTGAATTACCACATTATCTGATCCCAGGTAAATTGAAGATTTCACCTGGACACAGCCTAAATTTAGCCTAAATTCAAGTCCCAGATACTTCTAGCAATGCCCACACAAACGCTACTTTTGTCTTCTAGAGCTGCAGCTCAGCACCTCAACAAACTGATCAAAGGAAGCTCCTGGTGACCTCAAAGACCTTGTCCAGTGCTGCCCTGTGGTGGTGGCACTTGTGTCAGCCCATCATTATTTTCTCACCCTGGCTATAGGAACAGACAAGGGATAAGTCAGGGCTGGATATGGGCTGAGAAAGAAAACATTGTATCAGACACACACAGTTATACCAAACAGCCTTTGTTGAGAGAGAGCCAGCCAGTGCCTGCCCTAGCGGTCATGTCGGTCATGTCGGCTGCCAGCTGTGCCCGGGACAGCCAAGCAGGGGCAGTGACAGGCACTTGGGGCTGCTATGTGCACTGCAGTGCTGTGTGTGGGTGCTGAGGCCTGAACAGGACAATGGCCAATAAGGGAAAAGGAGGAATAGCAGGAGACCTTCGCTCTCCAAGCGCTTCTCTGAGCGCTGCGGGGCCGAGGAAAGCCAAGCGGCCCCATGGCCACGGGCAGCGCAGGGCTCCGATCCCCCAGCTCCCGCTCCCGAGCGGCCGTGCAGAGTCACGGCGGGGCTCTGAGGGCCCGGGGCTGGCACACGCCGCCGGCCGCTGGGCAGGCGCTCGCTCGCTCCTGGGGACACACGGCAGGAGCAGGGAGGGCTGCGGACGGCCCGGCCCCGCCCGGGCACACGGTTCGCGGGCGGGAGCTGTGGGCCCGAGTGGCCCGGCCGCGTCAGGGCGGTCACGTCGGCCGCGCCAGCCGCGGGCCCCGGCGGACAGCGGCGCGGAAGCACGGCGCTGAGGAGGCCCGGGGGGCTTCCCGGCCCACCCGCCGCCGGGAGCGGGCAGAGCCCCGCCGAGTGAGCCCCGGGGGAAGGGGCCGGCCCGGGGCCGTGTGAGCCCCGGGGAGGGCTCGGCCCGCGGGCCCGGCCGCGTTGCCATGGGGACGCACCGCGCACTCACCGCTGCTGCAGACGCCGCCCTCGGGTCCCGGCAGGGACAGACAAAGGCCCCGCGCCGCCGGCCCGGCTTTATGGCCCCGGGGGGCTCCGCGCGGCCAATCAGGAGCCGCGCACGGCACGCGCCCGCGATTGGCGAAGGCGGCCGAGGCGCCGCGCGAGGACCCCCCCCGCTCCGGAGGCGGGCGGGGCGCGGAACTGCGCACGCGCAGAAGCCGCCGATGGATGGAAGGTGGGCAGGGAGTCACGTGGTGCCCCTGACCCCGCCCCCATGCTCACCTGAACGGCCCCGCCCAAGGCCCCGCCCCTGAAGGGCGGCTGGAGAGCAAATGCGCGCATGCGCAAGCGGCGCCGCGTCCCGGCAAACTGAAAGAGCGGCCAAGAAGGGAACGGCGGCAGCGCTGCGGTACCGGCGGCTTTATTGGCGGCTGCAGCAACGGCACCCAGCGCAGCTGCCGCCCCACAGCCCCTGCAGGGCCGCGGGGACACACGGATAGCCAGCGCACGGCCCCAGGGCACCAGGCCTTGGGCTTCTTTGGGCTGCGGCTCCAAACCGTGGGCTGTGTGAGGGAGCTCAGCGCCTCTGAACACACATCAGGAGCTTTTCTTGAGCGAGTGTTGCAGGCTCTAAGATGGTCAGTGTGCTTCAGTCTATTAATTGTCCACATGTGGGCACAGAGTCATTTACCTTCCTCTGAAATACACGAAGCACATTCCAGCCTTTTCAAAGCACGTCCTTTCTCTCCCAAGAGCTTTCCCTCCGAACACCACCGACTGCCCCTGCCGTGTCCCCGCTCCTCTCCAGAGAGGAGCTCCTCGCACTGGCTCTCCCCCATTTGCATTTCTGTTCTTTAGGACTCGTTCTCATCCAACAAGAGCCTTCCGCTCCGTGAGCAGGCAGTCAGTGGAGCGAACGGAGACACCGGGACCGGGGGGATCCGAGCCTAGGGCTGGCTGCCCGCTGCTGTGGAGGTGCCGGTGCCGCAGGAGCGCGGAGCTCACGGCGAAGCCCCTCCCGCAGTCGGTACAGCGGTGGGGCCGGTCCCCGTTGTGGGTGCGGCGGTGCTGGCTGAGGCGGGCGCTCTGCCCGAAGCTGTGCCCGCAGTCGGTACAGGCGTACGGCCGCTCCCCGCTGTGCACCCGCCGGTGCAGGAAGCTCTTCCCGCACTCGGTGCACTCGAAGGGGCGCTCCCCGGTGTGGAAGCGGCGGTGCTGGATGAGGTGGGAGCTCACCGTGAAGCTCTTCCCGCACTCGGAGCACCCGAACGGGCGCTCGCCCGTGTGGAGGCGGCGGTGCTGGATGAGAGCCGAACTCACGGTGAAGCTCTTCGCGCACTCGGAGCACTTGTACGGCTTCTCCCCGGTGTGCAGCCGCTGGTGCTTGGTGAGCTCGGAGCTCTGGCTGAAGCTCTTCCCGCACTCGGTGCAGCCGTAGGGCTGATCCCCGCTGTGGACGTGCCGGTGCCGCGCCAGGGCCGAGCTGACGCTGAAGCTCCCCCGCAGCTGCCGCACGGGTAGGGCCTCTCCCCGCTGTGCACCCGCCGGTGCTGCACCAGCTGGGAGTTCCCGCAGAACCTCTTCCCGCACTCGGCACACCCGAAGGGCTTCTCCCCGCTGTGCGTGCCCTGGTGGCGGAGCAGCTTGGAGCTGACGCTGAAGCTCTTGTTGCCGCACTCGGAGCACTCGCAGGGTCTCTGCCCCGAGTGCGTCCTCTGGTGCTGGGTCAGATGGGGGAGCTGCCGGAAACGCTCCCCACACTCGGTGCACGGGAAGAGTTTCTCTCCAGTGTGGATCCTCCGGTGCTGGACGAGGTTGGAACTCACACGGAAGCTCTTCCCGCAGTCTCCACATACCATCGGCCTCCCCACAGAGGAATTTCTCTGCTGGATGACATCTGGCAGCTTCCTGAAACTTTTCCCACGCAGCATCACTCGGCTTTGCCTCTTCTCCAGAGGCCTCTGAGCCCTTCCTGAGCTCCATGGGATGACTGGGTCCTGTGCAGGACTCTGGGAATTGTTCTCCTTGGAGAGACCCGAGAGTGAAACCTCCAGCTCTGCTGGCCCAGGGATGCCTTGGTGGGGATTCTTCTCTTTTTTGCTCACAATCCCATCTTCAGCTGCAATAAAATGAGAATCTAGATAGAAGTCACAGACAGGAAACTTTAAAGAGGGGACATCAAGAGGGATCAAATTCTAAAGATTCACCAGATTGACTCTTACAGAAAGGTCTGATACTTCCCTTCAAACTACCCAGTGGATTTCTCAGTGTGTTCACAGGAACAAACCCTAGGAACAGCCCTGTGTGCTCTGACAGAACGTGAATCCACTGAAATTATTGGCATAGTAGAGGTAAAAGTTTAGTGCTTGAATGGGAAGGATGGCTGCTCTTCTAGGATGTCTGAAAAGTTATTAAAAGCTGAATTGAGAGTCATGGAAGTGCCACAAAGAACTGTCCTACTCAGCAGAACAAAGGCAGCATCCCTGATCTGCTGCTGCTGGTGATGCAGAGGCCCTAAGGGATGAAATCAGACACCTCAAACATGGCTTATGCCAGACAGAGGCAGAAGAAAGGCAACTTTGTGCTCCCATGGATGCATGGGAGGGCACACAGAACTGGGATGAGAAAGTGCTGTCTTGGAGCAGGAGAGGCACTGCAGAACTAAGAAAGGAGAGTCCAGAATTACAGCCCAGATGATCTAAGATCACATCTGATCTTCCTCTTTCTGGGCAGTGTAAGAAAACACCACAATGTGATTTCACAGTGACTCCTGAGATGCCTTTTACAGTAGCTTGGTGTGGCACTGACACTTGATATAGTTTTCCTTCAAATTGTTCCATGAGAGCAACGGAAACTGGAATTTTGACAGCCATGTGTCTGCAGCTACTCCATCCAGGTGGGATCTGGAGGAAAAGAGAAGAGGGACATCCAGAGACAGGATAAGGACATTGCTGGCAGCCCAGCCTGGAGCCCTTGCCCTGTGGGTCAGACTTACTGAGCAGACAGTGGAGCTTGGGAAGTTGCTCTGTGGAGCAACTGTAAAGGGTTTGATGTTTGATGGTGCCTGTAAAGGGTTTGATCAAAATCACGATGACAGAACCTCACTGGAAGTGTTTTAGGTGAGAGGAGAATAAGTTCACAATGCTCAGGAATTCATACTGGAAGTATAAGGCTGAACTGGCAAAAAAATTAATAAGCAAGCAAGGGAGAGTGTGGTTCTTCCTCAGCCCATGCAATTTGGGTTGATCTCAAGCCTCTGATGCGCCCAAGAGTGCCAGTGCTACGATCTGAGCCAAGCTCCAGGCAAGCAGACTAAGTGCAGACATTGGGAAAAAACCTTAAATGTACCCTTGGATCTCTTTCTCAAGAGAATCCACCTTGAGTTCTTCAGAGATGGCACCAATTCTAGCAGAAGGAAGCTCTGGAGTCCAAAGGCATTCTCAAAGACATTCACCCTTCACCAAACCTGGTAAGGAAACTCAGCTGCTGTGGGATGAATGACCTTCATGAGGTGGGGAGGAAGGCAAAGGGAGGTGTTTATGATTCTGCTATTCAGACACAAAGGCTGACCATGAACTGTGTCAGAGCCTGCTGATGCTGCCCAACCAGGTGACAGGGGAATGACAGAGGACATGCACTGCAGGTAAACAGAGAAGTGCAGAGGGGAACAGCCTCTATACCAGGAGCTGCTATAGAGGGCTCCTTCATGGATGAGCCTAGGATGTTCTTGACATCATTCTGGAATAGCCCCTTGGAGCAGGTGGACAAAAACTGCAGCTCCCAGGCAGACAAAACAGCTCATCAAATGTTCATGATTTTCAGGGAAAATCAGAGAATAAAGAGAATGTAATTGTGCCCTTGCAGCTCAAACCCCACAACCTGACTGTGTGCAAGGGCAGGGATGGATCCTCCATTTCAGAGAAATTCCAGTAGAGCTGAGGGAGATACAGAGCATGACATGAATAATAAAAGGCACAGAACAGCTTCTGCATTGGGGATAAAGGGTGCAGCTGACAGGGGTATTGCAGAGGACTATGAAACCACAAGTGGCCCATGGAGTGGGTGGGGATCCCTCCTGCACCATCTGCTCTGAGTTAAGAACAACTGACATGAAGTGAGCTATTAGAAGGCAGCTTCAAAGCAAACTAAAGAAGGCAGCAACTCAGAAAGCAGCTGAATAGGCTGTGGAACTACTGGCTGCAAGCTGTCACGGATGATAAAACATGCACAACTTCAGACAGCAAGAAAATACAGAGAGAGCTGTGAGATACTGAGACATTGCATGTCTGCTTCAGTAGTTTCTGGAGTCACAGAGTGTCAGGGCCTGGGAGAGCATCCAGGAACACACCAGGCACTGCCTGTGCCTTCTGTGGGACCCAGCACTGGCTGCTGCTAGGGACCAGTGGGAGGACGTGGTCCATCCTGGTATCACCAATCCTATGCATGCTGGTAGGGTATGGGAATCCTGGAGCAGTTTTTCTCACCAACAGGTTCACAGATGTGCTGGGTTAACGGTCAGACTCCACGATCTTAGTGAGTTTTTCCCAACCTCAGTGATTGTATGGCTGTACCATCCCCTTACCTGCACAAGGGCTGCTCTCGGACTTCCCTCGGTAGGCGCAGAGGTGGGAGAACCACAGTTCCTCCTTCTGATCCATGTGGGAGATCATCTCCAGCTGCTTTCAGGGGATCTGCTCCGGGGGTAAGATAGGGGGCCGGTCAGACGGGCCGGGATTCACCCGACCGAGCAGGGGCTGGCTCTGCGGGGGTGCAGCAGAGCCCCGGAACCGCTGCGGACCCGCGGGGCTGGGGGGGCCGGGGACCGGTCCTGGTCCCACCGAGGGTCCCGTCCCAACCCTGTGATGTCCCCGATCCAGTCCCGCCGTGTCCCCCATCCCGGTCCCGCAGCTGTCCCGGTCCCGCCGTGTCCCCGTCCCGCTCCCGCAGCTGTTCCCCATCCAGCCCCGCCGTATCCCGGTCCCGGTCCCGGAGCTGTCCCCGATCCAGCCCCGCCGTGTCCCGGTCCCGGAGCTGTCCCCGATCCAACCCCGCCGTGTCCCGGTCCCGGAGCTGTCCCCGATCCAGCCCCGCCGTGTCCCCGTCCCGGTCCCGGAGCTGTCCCCGATCCAGCCCCGCCGTGTCCCGGTCCCGGAGCTGTCCCCGATCCAACCCCGCCGTGTCCCGGTCCCTCACCCGCGCTCGGCTCCGCTCGGCGGCTCCGCGGCCGCTGAGGCGCGGTCACGTGACGGCCAACGGTGGCCAATGGCGGCCCCGCGGGCTGGGAAAGGGCCCGGGATGGCGGCGGCGGGGCTGAGGTGGTGACAGGGCTGAGGTGGCGGCGGGCTTGGCCCCCCTGAGGGCTCGGGACCCGTCACCTGCTGCCCGCTCCGTCCCGAGCCTTTCCCCGTGTGCCGGCCGAGCCGCCACGGCCGCCCGGGGTTTCCCAAAGCCCGGCTTCAGGCGGGAAGGGAATGCCCGCCCCGGGGAACACGGAGCCTCCAGTGCAGAGGCTCAAGGAACCAGACAGCGATGGCAGCCAGCGCCTTCTGAGGGAAGAACATTTCCAGATGACACCAGAGCAGAACTCTGGAGATCCGTACCTGGGCTCCATGTCCTTCCAGGACATCGGTGCCCAATCTGGGCACTTTCAGGGGCTGGAGCTGCCCAAGTCTGGAAAGTGTTGTGAAGGGAGCAGTGAGATTGTGCTGATCTTGGGCATGAATCTGAATTCTTAGCAATCACACACGGTTTGGGTTGGAAGGGACCTTAAAACCCATCCCGTCTGACCCCATGCCATGGGCAGGGACACTTTCCACTATCCCAGGTTGCTCCAAGCCCTGTCCAGCTCAGCCTTGAACGTTTGCAGGGATTTGGAGTCCACATTTTCCCTGGGTAATCACAGGGATGGTTCTGCCAAAGGCTGCATCACCTCTCCCAGCCACTTTGTGTTCCATTAGACATCTGACATAAAATCCTCCAGAAGAAATTTTATACTGGAACGATATGGAAAGCAAACCAACAGGAAGGATTGCTCTCTGATTTATCCCTTCCATATAGAAACGCTGGCACTGTAAGTGTGGATCTGTTGGCCCAGCTGAGCCTGGGTACTGGGACATTCCCGCCCACAGGTGTTAGGAACCCCTTTGTCATTAGCAAAATAGGTTGCCCCAAGTCGTCTTCACCACCAGTTGAAGTTTTCAGAGTTCAAGTTTAGGTCTTTTAGGCATAGGCTTCCCAGTCATGTTCTCACCCCCTAGTTGAAGATGGGAAGAGTAGTCTAGTTCAATAAAGTTCAAGTTTTCTATACAATCCTGTGTTTGTTTACTGTTCCATATGAGAATGGACAGGATTTAAATTGTTTATTGTATATAATATAAATCAAAATCAAATTCTGTATTAAAAAAAAAATATGTCCAACATATACAAAGACATCTAGAAATCTGCCCTGTTCTTCAGTGAGCCTTTGCACACTCAGAACTGCCAGAACAGACAGAATCAGAAGTTGTTATGAAGGTCAATATATAAAATACAACAATTTAGGGTCCAAGACTTCTCTCGGAGTCCCAGACACTTTACAACTGGGACCAGTCCAGTTTGGCAATGGGACTAATCCAGGTGGTGGGTTTAGTTCAAGCTGTGAGAAGTGCTGAAGAGTTCCAGTGCTCAAAACTGCTTAAATATTTTCTTAAAGACATCTCTGCTGGGGGCTTTTCCATGACATGGGGTATCAGGGGCACTTGTGGGAGGTGTCACAAAGCAAACAGAACAAACCCCTGCCCTGTTCTGCAGCCATTTCAGAAACACATATTTAGGAGTTTTAGTAGAGATTGCCAAGTGAAGCAAGAAAAAAAAAAGCCTT